GGTCCATTTTGTGTGTGGTTAAAGGCATTAAGTAATGCCTCAAGCAGAAAATTGACCTAAAACAGTAACATTTTCGTGACATAGCCTCTTTTAATAAGCTTTACTCGACGCAAAAATGTAAATATAATAAAGTTGCGTTGGTTTTGTTTATTATCTTTTTTGAGCGACTTTGTTTGTTCTAATTGCTGGTAACCGTTGTCGTCCCAGGAGCCTCCTAGTGCCCGCTCGATAGCCCCGCGCGGATCAAACAAGACGGAAACTTTCTAAAATTTCTTTTTTGCGCGAACGTTGATGCTTGCAAAGAGAAGGCGTAACTTGATCACGGCATTTTAAACCACATTTTCGCCGGGAAAAACTATGTTTTACTGAAGCTTATTTTATAAAATCAATAGACGCTATTTTCTGTTAGTAACCCACCTGGGGAAATGCGACAACACTCGAGAAGCTAAATTCACCCGAAGTTGCGCTTCGGCGCTTAAATATATGCAGTTATTTCGCATTAACTTAAGACCGTCGTTTTTAGCGCAACTCGCCACCCTAGAAACGAGAAGGGGCCTGGAGCCGAAATGGGATCGTGACTGGGGCACGCGCAGTACAGCTGTTGGCCACTTTTTTTTCCTGGCCCTAGTAACAGTCCCAGAAGTCTTTGCGAAAGAAAATTCGGCCCAGTTATGGGTCACCTCTTTCACCTTTTGCTATATGCGCGGCTAAAGTTTAATAGTCTTCTGTCATGGGTTGTGCTATAGTAACGCAATGATGTCGCGGCAGCATTTGCGAAATTTTGCCCTTATCAAGGGGGCAACTTGCTAGTGGCCCCTTAGACTCCTCGCAAGCTAAAAAAATCTCTCTTGTTTAAGGTTCATGCTCACTTGAGATTCAGATTTTATCCGAGCATTCCTCTTATGCATTCGTATAGTGCACTCAAGAGTTCAAGTACTAAGAATATTTTATTCTTTGACGTTTTCTATCTACTTGATAAAATCTCAATAGCAAGGCTAACATGTTAAACAAGACTTGGACAAGACCAGGAGCTCCAGAAGGTAGTACCTACTCGTCTTTTTCCCATCCCGGGGCCGCGTAGCCGATTTTCTTTCGTTGCTTTACCAACCAATCACGTAGCGGCTGGAAATATTCAGTAAGCGCCCCATCATCAACCTCCTGACTTCCGGTAAGTTTCTCGAGGGCTTGTGGCCAAGGTTTGCTTCTTCCCATCTTCAACATATCACTGTTAAAAGAGATCGAAAGTAAACGGATATGCGAAAGAGTACATCAACCCATTCACCGTTAAAACACAGTCAACTACCCACCCTTACGCACAGAATAAGACGTGAATTTGACCGGCTAACTCAAATTGAAATCTTGCAGTTCAAATTAAAATTCATTTCGTATACAGTCAAACCTCCATTAACGGCCACCTCTCTACAACGGCCACTTTTTTTGTCCGGACGGACAGTCCATACATTGGCTCTTGTTTAAACCTCTCTACAGTGGTCACCTCTCTACAACGGCAACGGCCACTAAAGCGTGCCCCCAACTGCCAAAATAACCTCGACAACGGCCAGTTTTCTCAGCGACTGATGAAAAAGTCAAGAATGGTCATTAAATTTGATCCGTATGACACGTTGATGATTAATTGCGGCAATCGTATTTTGATTGTGTTCCATTTATACTGCTGCAGTAAGCAGAAATTGTCTACAATACTTATAGTTACAATGTTGCGAACCTCAAAAAAATTATTTATATTCAATTTTTTGTGCATTTTATCTCTATTATAAATAATGTTTGGATTACCATTATGGGATACAGTAGGCATGAACTTAGCACAATAAGAATGTTATACTCCCTAAAAAAAAAATGTCATATTACACCCCTACCTCCCCATAACAGCCACCTCTCTACAACGGCCACTTTCTTCTCCCCCTAAGGTGGCCGTTGTGGAGGGGTTCGACTGTATTTCCATTCATGTAATTTCCACCATCGGGTAATTTACGAACTCACAATGGCCTGCTCTCCGGTTGGATTGATTAGCTCAATGGATTGAGCGTTGCGTCGATCAGGATTCGATTCCCGGTCAAGCCTGAAGGTTTTTTTTCAGGTTCTTTTTCAACCGCTTAGATTGTTCATTCAACTGCGAGGATCATGTTCACTTTCATATCTGTATCCGCAGTTCAAAATATGATTCATTTCACATCTTTTCATTTCATCTTGTCTCACTGCCTATTGGTCCTTTTTTTTTTTTAATTTTCACTTTGTTTGGCGCAAACTGTCTAGTTACAATTAATCATTCTGAAAGTGTCAAAACCGCACGGTCAGCTTTTGTATCTTGCCTCGCGAAGCCTGAGAAAACAGCCGACGTTTCGTGACGCCACCACAGGTGTCCCCGTGGCATGATGTCTGAGAAACGAGCACAGAAATTCCATACTGATGACGCGTCACAGCCCAGATCTCTGAAGCCTCACGTGCTTATTTGTCGTTTTTTTAGAAGTGAACTAGCTTTTGAGAATGCACCATATTTTACGTTTCGAGTTCTATTATTGCTTTATCATTTAATCGCGGAGTACTTATCTGGTTCATTATTTTGGAGAAATGGAGCAGTCATCTTGTCCTTGAAAATAGGGATCTCAATGCGCATGTGCAAAGTGTTGCCTGACACAAGCAACTTTTTTTTTGTTATTGCGCATGAGTAGACCATTGACAGTAGCGTACCAATCAATATTTTAAAAACATTATTTGTGGGTGTTAATCTTCTCGGCCATCATTTTCTTCGATTAATCACTTATTTACTAACCTTGAGTCTGGAAAAAGAAATAATTGTTTCGAGAAAAGCCTGGAAAAATTGTTGAAATTTTTTATCCAAAAATCTGTACGAGCCCCGTGAACTTATTGACAACATTACCCAATCTTTTTTCCCGCTTTCGTGGATTTGTAGATGGAACAGGTATGAAGGGGTCCTTTGTGACCTGCTTCTTTGCAAGCGGCCTTGTGAAACTGGAACTGTAGAATGAAGCTCATGAAATATCTGAAAGATAAAAGACATGACTCGTTTATGTTTGCCTTTCGTTTTAAAAGAAGCTACACGGCCTGGTGTCTTGGTCTCCTTCGTGACACGCCAGATGATTGATGCCATGTCATTGCCAAATTAAATCTCCACCAATAAGGATTTCGCTTCCATTCAACATTTTCGATGCTGAAATTCAAATTCCGGGGAGACCTCGTTAAAATCTCTCGATGGTGTGGTCCCCAAGGCCGGGGCTTAACCTTAGAATAAGGCACCTTGGAGTATTGCTAATCCCCAAGCATTAGATAACACTATCCATGGTAGGGTTAACTATTCCCAGTATTATGTCCCCGTTGCCCATTTATTCACCTGGCTAAACCTATTATCCTGCCGTTGGAAACAGCGTCAACCTCGTTTCCAGGGTACGTGAGACATAGTGGGGCTAAGTTTCTTGCCTAAGGGGACAATGAGACGGCAAGGAAGTCGCACCTATAAATCCAAAGTTCGATCTTTAAACTGGGTCGTGGTAACTGCTCCGTTATCACGCATCCACTTGTTTTCCATTTTGCCCGATTACTATTTTTGAAGTTTTCTTCAATTAATTCAGGGATTACGAATGGTAAAATCCGAGACACGTTTAGCCTTCGCACCAAGCGCATGAGACGAAATTCACGGCATAGATAAGAATTGCGACGCTTTTCACGCGCCTACTGAGCTGGTCAACACTTGAGTCGCCAAGACCGTTGTTTAAAAATTCGAAGTCTGTGTGGATTAAAAGGCAAAAATCAAGGAGGGAAACACACAAAAAGGATAAATTCAGGGACTCATCAGGAACGTCTCTGAGACTTGGAGATGGAAACATTTGTCACTTTTTGAGGTTGCAATGTAATGACCGAACGTAAAACATCGTGGCAAAGGTCTATTAAAGGTATAGATTACGTACCTGATGTAGGGATAGTTTGCTGGAATGTGATACTTGCATCCGGGATCAAAATCATCTTCTAAGCGATCCACTGGAGGCTTGACTCCCTGGTACTTAGTCCTCAGCTTCCACCACTCGGTGTTGTAGTTCTCTTCAGTAATAGCTCCACTGAAAACCTTCCAACGCCACTGGTCGATCAGGAAACCGTATGGCAGGAACGCCACCTTGATCAGTGCCACCTTCATTAAGGCGTTTATATCGGATTCTAAAGAGACATAGAGTCAAAACCAATACGAAACTGTCACTTGTATTAAGCGCTTGCGATCTCGTGTGATCACAGTTTGCTAAGTCTTTTGTGTAATATTTCTCAGTGTCTTCGCCTGTATTATATGTAAATGGTTAGCATTTTACCGGCTCATAGTTCTCTCACAGAGAGAGAGAAAGCAAGAGATTGATTTGGGAGATAATTCGCTCCTTGTAAGGAAATCTAAGACAGTCTTGGATTCTGACTTTCACACTGTGGATTCTGGATTCAAGGTACTGGATTTCAGCTTCCAATGGAACTTGGATTCTGGATTCCAATCGTTAGTGGGATATTTTTGGATTCCAAACCCCAGGATTTCGGATTCTGCAAGCAAAATTTTCCCTGATTCCGGAATCCACAAGCAAGAATTTCCCCGATTCTGCAATCCGGATTCCCTTACAAGGTGCGAGATAATGAGTTAAATGCAGTGTATTCTTAGACTACAAGTAGTCCCCATTTTTCCTCAGGGATAGTAGAGCGAGCGAAACGCGAGCGCACATGAGAATCACCCCACGCGAGAAAGGCGAGACGCGGCGGTGAGACGAGTAGTCCCCATTTTTCCTGAGGGATAGTAGAGCAAACGAAACGCGTGCGCGCGTGAAAATCGCCCCACGCGAGACAGGCGAGACGGGGCAGTCTCGCCTTTCTCGCGTGAGGTGATTTTCACGCGCGCTCGCGTTTCGCTCGATCTACTATCCCTGAGGAAAAATGGGGACTACTCGTAGTCTAGTGTATTCTATACCTTTATCATCGCTGTACTCCTCTAACTAACCAATTTTTGTCAAGTGCTGTGGAGTGTCGACTGAAAGTGACAGGGTATCCCCAACGGCTTCATGGAATCCTGGGTTGGCGCCATCGCGGTATTCGAACGGTAAGTCCCAATACTGTAGGAAATACTGAACGTGGCCCAACTCGTGGTGAGTGACTATCAAGTAGCTATGATCGGTAGTGGTGCATTGCTTGATTCTGAAAAGACCGTGTCGTAGCCGTCATCGCTCTAAACCTCATTAAACTTTTAAGTAGTTGCAAATCGTTGATCAATGTATGCAGTTTTTCACTCATTTTTAACCCAACAAGTCTGCAAAAAATTGTCCTTTTTGGCAAGGGCATATGATCGACTAAGTCACCTCGCGGAAAACAACACCGTTGTCCATCCTAAACCGTAAATCGATGACCGTTTTATAATTAGAAAACCTCAGTGATTGGATCTTTCCGTTTATTCAAAGAAAAATTTTGGAGTTTCTAATTAGCTCAAATGTACACCTAAAAATGTAAACAGACAGTGTGATGAACCCCCGGGAGTGTGGACTCAATATTAAAGAGACTGACTGAGATATTTGTCGGGAAATTAGAATTTAATTAACACCTAAAGAACACCAATCTGGGTGAGACTCAGGCTTAATTTGACCCCTATCCGACAAAGTACAATCGACTCTCTCCTGACACCTTTACAGACCATACAGTCAAACTCCGTTTCACGGACACCCGCTTAATACGGACACCTCATTGTTACGGACACTTTCTATTGTCCTCTCAGTGTCCATATTAACGGGGATTGACTTATAAGACGGACACCTCGGTAAAACGGACACCTAGAGTTGGTCCCTGCCTTTCTTTACTCGACCTTTTATTTGACTCTATTAGGGCCTGTTTACATGGAGGTGGGGGACCCCAGGTAGGTGAGGTAACCCGCTTAGGTGTGGTAACCCGCCTGTACATATAATCTCTCATTTTAATTCGATCACGTTTACATGATCGGTGAGGTGACCCGCCACGTGTTACCTCACCTATCTGGGGTCTCCCACCTCCACGTAAACAGGCCTTTAGACCCACATCATTCTTAGGCGAACTCTTAATGCCGGTCCCAAAGCTGTCCGTCTTAGCGAGAGTTGACTGTATGACGGCGTTTTCTCTTTTTATATGGATACTTCCTTACGCAAAGGCTTTTAATCCAGAACACCATAAGTGAGGGCAAAATCGGCAATGTACTGTATACCCCTAAGCAAGACGACAATCACCCCATCACTGTGATATGGGATTCCCCCGGGAGATAAACTAAGCACTAGTCTAACCTGACGTCCTTGTTTATGAGGAAATCCCAAGCTGATGCGTGACAAACTACCGCCCTGCCGTCCTCAGGCTTGGTAAACAAAGACTTGTAGTAGAATGACTTGGGAAATGCTTCCAGACCAATTGACGTGAAAAACGACTCGGCGAGTCGCACCATTTTCAGCGCAGTATAGTTTTGCTTTACCATGTTAGCTGTAACATCTAGGCTGGGCTTGCCTTTGTATGGTTCGACCAGATCGTAAATATTTTCCCACGTCATCGCCCACATGTCCCCTAACAGGTGCGCTGGGATTGGACCTTTCTTTTTCATCTTGCTGTACTTCTGGCTGAGCCTATATCTCACATAGGCGTGGAGCTCTTGAAAAAGAGGCTTTAATTTGGTCCAAAAGCCTTCAACCATGCCCTCAAAGTCTTCAACTTCGTAAAACGATCGCCAGTACTCGCCAATGTCTTTCCAGCCATTATCTCTGGCGCCTTGGTTTTTCAGTTTCACAAATTCCTTGTAGAGAGGTCACAGTGTCGGGCCAACCGCATCCCGCCAGCCTTTCCATGCAAACTGAAGTCTATCATAATCCCGTATTGTGGCCATTATGTTCCACAAGTCTGGCTCTAGTGCAAACTTGATGCCGTCATTATCTTCAACTTTGCCTGTGCTGTAGATGCCCTCCATTTTTGGTATGAGCTTGGTCATTCTACGCAGCACGGCTTTATCTTTGGGTATCGCTGAAGAAGTGATAAACTTGATCTGCCTCTTGGTGTCGGCGGACAATTTGCTCAAGTCGAACTTTGACGCTCTCTCTCGCATCTTATTTTGAAATGCTGTGATAGCGAGGCTTCCGGTTGTCTTCAAGTTGCTATTGTGATCTGTGATGTTTGTAGCGTAATTCCATGCAAGGTCCATAAACTTTCTTTTCTCAATGGGAGCCTCCTTGTTGTATTTTTTCAGAAACGCCAAAGCTTTCGTCTCTTCCGCTCGAACGACAGCAGCAGAGCAGTGAAACGGTATNTAGTTTTGCTTTACCATGTTAGCTGTAACATCTAGGCTGGGCTTGCCTTTGTATGGTTCGACCAGATCGTAAATATTTTCCCACGTCATCGCCCACATGTCCTCTAACAGGTGCGCTGGGATTGGACCTTTCTTTTTCATCTTGCTGTACTTCTGGCTGAGCCTATATCTCACATAGGCGTGGAGCTCTTGAAAAAGAGGCTTTAATTTGGTCCAAAAGCCTTCAACCATGCCCTCAAAGTCTTCAATTTCGTAAAACGATCGCCAGTACTCGCCAATGTCTTTCCAGCCATTATCTCTGGCGCCTTGGTTTTTCAGTTTCACAAATTCCTTGTAGAGAGGTCGCAGTGTCGGGCCAACCGCATCCCGCCAGCCTTTCCATGCAAACTGAAGTCTATCATAATCCCGTATTGTGGCCATTATGTTCCACAAGTCTGGCTCTAGTGCAAACTTGATGCCGTCATTATCTTCAACTTTGCCTGTGCTGTAGATGCCCTCCATTTTTGGTATGAGCTTGGTCATTCTACGCAGCACGGCTTTATCTTTGGGTATCGCTGAAGAAGTGATAAACTTGATCTGCCTCTTGGTGTCGGCGGACAATTTGCTCAAGTCGAACTTTGACGCTCTCTCTCGCATCTTATTTTGAAATGCTGTGATAGCGAGGCTTCCGGTTGTCTTCAAGTTGCTATTGTGATCTGTGATGTTTGTAGCGTAATTCCATGCAAGGTCCATAAACTTTCTTTTCTCAATGGGAGCCTCCTTGTTGTATTTTTTCAGAAACGCCAAAGCTTTCGTCTCTTCCGCTCGAACGACAGCAGCAGAGCAGTGAAACGGTATGATTACCGCGTATAGAACGAGAATAAAAGCAATTTTCAATTGCATTATTACGTTCCGTTTGCTGTTACTTGGGACTATCGTTGCCTAGTTACTGTGGCAATTCTTGGTCGATATATTGTTAAGGCTTGGTTGGGAAATCTGTTGAGTCATTATCATTATAGTCGTTATCATCATCAAATAATCAAGCGCTAATCCTGAGTAATTATTCGTTTCGGCTTTTGTATAATATTTAGCAATTCATATTGAATGAGGCCGAGTAGGCTATGAAGAATTCTGCCGGTCGAGGAGGGTGTTATCGGCCGAGGTGGATAACACCCTCCGAGATGGCTACGAGATGGTAGCTGGCCAACGAGGCGCGTAGCTGGCTACAATCATCTCATATCCATCAAGCGCGAGTGGAATAATTGTTGTATTTAAAAAGGCCCACAAAGTATGGAGAATTCTTCCCGACTTTATTTTCAGCTTGTTTTTAATTTTGAGCAGACGCGTACAGTTACCATATTTGGAGAGCATGGTATATATGGTTTATATACCATGATGGCTAAGCCAATACTGATCAGAGCTCTAGAAATGCATTTTCCAATGATTCAGTTTTCAATAAGAAGAATTATACAGATCCGCTAATAAGATCAGGGGCATCTTGTTTTGGCGGTGGTTATCTATCTAAAATTTGTCTACTAATTATTTCTTTCATATTTTAATTTTCAGCAACCTCCAAATACAATATTTTCGATTTTTATATAATTTTAAACCTCACCCTCGCATATTTATTCATTCAAAACATTCGCAAAATCGTTCAAAATTCACAACATTTATTGAACCAATAACTCCGACTATATTGAGCCAGTTTTTGAAAGAAAACTGGTTGAGATGTTACCTAGATTTCGGAAGAGAAAGGGCACTGAGAAATAAAGGGAAAAAAGGCTTTTAACCAGAATCGTCCTAAATGAGTGAATTCACACCTTTTCAAACTAGATTACGACTATTCCATTTAGTTCAATTTGTCATGTGTCGGCGAATTTTTTGCGGAGTCTTGAAATTCTTAAGGAGCGTATCGAAGTTTAGAAAACGTCTTGTCTTCATCACCTACTTGTTTGTTTGTTGACATATTTTCACTGCGTTCCGTATTAATTTTTTAACGTTTTTTCAAAACATGGTGTGATTAAAAACTCTCACCCGTGTTGAAGTTCTTCTGCAGGGGATGAGCTGACTACTATTGGAAGCTGGGTACAACTCTCTGTGAGGCAATTAGGATCTCAATACAGCGAGAACACAACGTTTATCTGGTAAAGAAAACCATCTTCAGGGATTTATCCCGGATGCTTATTACATAATGCGACGATTAGGTAATGCAACTAGCCATTGTTTTGAACAGGTTATCACAGTTTCAATAAATGGAATAGCCGGTCAATATAGGAACAATGGAGGGATCAATATTTTTATTAATGAGCTTTTTTCCCGCTTCAGTGACCATAATAACGACCTGCTGCTTCTAAAATAATGGAAAGATGCATTAAATCCGAAAACGACCTCGAAAAGAAAATTAATGACCTTGGGCTACGCGCTCGGTCGTTATTTTTGAGAAGGCCTCGGAACTAAAGCTTTTTCCTATATTTTTCCATGACTAACTGGTACCTTTAAAGTGTGCTAGTTTCACACAACAGATACTAATGAGAACTATATAACCATAGGACGTGACCAGAACGTATGTGATAATCTAGGAGGCGTTAGTGCGCTGGTTGCCCAGAGCAGGTAGAATAGTAAATTAGCGAGAAGAATAGACAGATTAGGAAACTCTGAAAAGCTCAGCCAAGCCTGAAATTATAGCAATGTTTGGCTCTTGAACTGCATGTGTGATTTTTCGTTCTAGCGTTTATCTAAATATTACAAACATTATTAGTCGCTAGTTCAAAAAGACGACTTCAAGCAATTAGTTAAAAAAAAAAAAAGAACGGTAAAACAAAAAAGCTTTTCTTTTACATTAAGAATGTATGTTTTTTCTCTTTCGTATATAAACATTTTTTTGAGAACTTGACCACTCGGAGTCGACGTGTTTCGAGGCGGAAGGGAGTATGTGTGGCGATGTACATTTAAGTCTACTTTAGGTATAATTAATAATAAGTTAAAGCGAAATCCATGAATACGAAATATTTGAGATTTCGGTTTTGTTTACTGTCAATTTCATTCCTAGTTTGCGTTGGTGGATTTTTCAACCTGCATCGACCTGTGTTTTTTGTCGCCTTTTGATAATGCAATCTTACTTGAGCGACGTAAGGTTAGTGAAAAACGGTCGTCTGAGACGTTCAGTTGTCTGGTGTAAAAACGGGACGCAAAGAATTGTCGGCAACCTCATGGAGAGAAAACTATTTTTCTGAAAAACAAAAATAATTGTCTCATTCGTCTCTGGACAAGATGGGCATTAATGCGTCCTAATTAGATCGTTCCCTTTGAATACCAGACGCATTTTACGTCTGAGATGTTACACTGTGGACACTGAAACCGGGGTGACACTTGGAAGAAGAATGTCCAATCACAACGTTTTCTGAAAACAAAAGATTCTCACTTTTTTTGCCCACGGACCAATAAAAAAAATGAAACTTTAAAACCGTTTAAACTTACCTGACCTTTTAGGAAACAGCCCTCAAATTTACGAATGTTGTTGGTCCCTTTATGATTAAACCGTTAGAATCTTCTATTTTCAGAAAACGTCATGATTGGACAATCTTCTTCCAAGTGTCCCTTTTTGAGTGTCCGATGTTACACGACCATTTACAACATTGTTGCAACATTGCAACGCTGTTTTGCGAATCGTCCCGTTTAACGACGCACTTACTTACTGAAAACGTTTTTATACTAGAAGTGTGGCATAAAAACGGCAAATCTTTGCTTTAACTTTTTTATGCTTGGCTGAGTTTTTCAAGGGAATTATCATTATTAGTAAAATCCAATTAGTGGTCTATTATCAATGCCGTGTTCTGATTGGTTGAGCTACTACTATGCTCCTCATGGGCTATTGACTCAAAGCCCATTCAGGCTCGAGGAATAATTGTTAAATATTGGAAAACGAGAAGACCCTGGGAACAAGGTTGAAATTGAAGTACTCAGTGCCTGCATTTCCACGGCTTTCTTTAGCGTCAAAAACAAAACAGGGAATTGCGCCTTTTTTATGCCTCGCTTTGAGGTTTTATACACTCCCCTTTCCTGTCAGACAAACTCCAAAGGTATATCAAAAAAAAAATTAATAATCCTTTAATCAATGAAATGAACGTTTAACATTTGCATAACAATATTTTGGCTAAAGAAGAAAAGACAGTAATCAGCTGAATAAATTTCAATTCACTGTTGTTTAGACAAGGATCTAGGGTGCTTCTACTGTCCAGTAACTTTTTCGTGCATAACACACTCAAATTTTACGTAAGTAAAATGAAATAGGGGCCATAACGAAAGAGATAATGTTCCGACGTTTCGGAGGAATTGGAAATAAATAAATGCGAGTTATTTATTTCCAATTCCTTGATAATGGCGTCATGAAGTCACCGAATCGTCAGAAGCTGTCTCATTAGTATTAACAATGTTTATGTTTCTCCAAATCAATTTTAATATAATTGCATTAATAGCCTGAGAGAACAGCCGACATTAAAACCAGCGACAGTGGAAACCCACCTTTAAACCCAGAAATTCTCTTGAAGCTCTTACATTGCACTTGTACGTCAAAGGGCATCAACAACCTTAAAGGTAAGTTTTTTCTTTTTCGCTTGTGTTCAGTGATAGTAGGAAACTTATGAGCATAACGAGGGCGACGTTAGCAAAAATGCCTTTGTCACGGTTGTTTCAACTCGCTTAAAACTTCAAACTGTTTGGGTTTCATTTCCTTGGAACTTAATTTTGGGGACCAAGCCCAAGTGCAGGATGGACTGTGTTAATTGTGTTTACGTTTTCCATAAGACGTCTGGTCTGAGGATTTTACGTTCTAGTTGAGCAGCGACGGTAAAGAAATGTACAAAAAAGATTGCTGTACGTAAAAAATTGTTGTTTTACTTATTGTAAACATATTGCTTTTTAGACGTCCTAGTTGTTGTCGCCTTCGTTGTTACGTTCGCCTGTATTTTGTTCGCTCGATCCAATTCAATCAACTTTATTTAAACACGGTGAATGGCTCAGCAAACTGGTTTTCAGACATGCCGTGTAACAATTACAAGTTATAAATATTAAAACTACAGTTGACTCCCGATACCTCACGCGAACCCTNGTGTTTACGTTTTCCATAAGACGTCTGGTCTGAGGATTTTACGTTCTAATCGTGCAGCGACGGTAAAGAAATGTACAAAAAAGATTGCTGTACGTAAAAAATTGTTGTTTTACTTATTGTAAACATATTGCTTTTTAGACGTCCTAGTTGTTGTCGCCTTCGTTGTTACGTTCGCCTGTATTTTGTTCGCTCGATCCAATTCAATCAACTTTATTTAAACACGGTGAATGGCTCAGCAAACTGGTTTTCAGACATGCCGTGTAACAATTACAAGTTATAAATATTAAAACTACAGTTGACTCCCGATACCTCACGCGAACCCTTGCTAACTCGAACCAAAATTGATTTTCCCTGGATTTTTTTGTTGTAATTTTAGGCTCGGTAACTCGAACCCTCGATAACTCGAATCTCCCGCTAACTCGAAGTAATTTTTGTTTCCCCTCAGATCACTTCTATATAATTTTAACCTCGATAACTTGAACCATGTTTTGAGCCTTAAAAAGTCGGGAAAAAAACAGTGTACTGGCGTCCAATTTCCCATTGACGTGTTGTACGCATATAGCGTAGTTTACTAGTGGAGGCGTATGTTGTTTGTCACAAATCTAACATGAAACAGCTATAATTCTGAAAACAGTAAAACGCATGCTCTGTTTAGACAATGTTCTGTTACGTTACGTTCTGATTTATAATCTAGAAGTGTCTTTTAATTTTCAGTTGACATTTCTACAATTAAATGCCACTAAAATGTTCACTTTGCAGTAAAAACTGTTTTTTTCCTTCCTTCCGGCTATTTTCT